GATAGACTTACCTCCACGTGGTGCACCCTGGGCAACATATATTCACACGGCAAAAAAGTCTATTAACTGGCGAATGACTTCTGGCGCAGTACTCATCCTACCTTTTCTCTACCTTCATGTCTGTCTCTTTACATCTCTAAATCACTCTTATGTTCTCCACCCCTCGACTTTCTGTTACTTTGATGTTCCTTCCCATCTGTAAAGCCTGAAGTCAGCTAAAGGGCTAATGATAACTATCAAAACGCCTGCCATTTGAAATAAATAAATAAATAGTTTGTTTATTATTCCTGCAAAACCATTTGCTTTCAATAATGGCAAGCTAGATATAGAACCAATAAAGGTCACTTAACTATTAAGCCCAATTTACATCCGCTATTCATAATACAGAAAATAGACGTGAACTCGGTTCGTCCACTGGACAAGAGCTTCAGGAAGAGGATAGGGTAAGTGAATAGGCAGTCCAGTAGGCAGGGTAGGCTTAAGAAGTCAACGTATTTAATCAAGTACGTCATATTAATAGTATTTGCATAACCAAAGTAAAGATCTTTATTGGCAATATATGCAAACGAATTCGGAGTTCGCTTCAAGCCAGGCTATTTGTTAAAAATATTACAAGACAGTGCTGTTAAGACATTACGAGATAAGGGAGACTTCATGTGAAAAATTCATGGAACAGGGAATTTTAAAGATTATGTATTTTCTAAATAGCACATGGTTTTCACACCACGTATAGAACACTGGGATGGTTGCATGGAAGTTTTGAGCATTGCTTGTCATAACCTACTATTTGTAAAACATTGTCAATTTCAAATTAATTTGGGAAAACCTAAACTTCCCTCTCATAAGAATTAGAGAAGTAAGTACGCAGCCTAACCAATTATCGAGATAGACAAGATTAAAATTAGACATATCCACTGGAGTAGTTCAAAGAGGTCAGTGAAACACCTATAATTAATGCCTCATAAATAAAGGCAAAAGACGTCCAACGTGTATGGTGGCGATGTGGAAGGAAGGCATTCCAATCACCAAAGTGACCTGTCAGTGTTGCGGCTGATCTCTAATAGTGCCGTGCTTAACTTGGCGTAACGATTTGACAAAAGTGCAAAGTTTAATACACGGCACTGGAATTGGGGAGATAGGCATCAAAACGCCATAATACTTTCTATGCTTTGATGAATTTGCGCAAGCTAGTTGCATCCTTACGTTTGTCTCACTAGGAGTGATAGCAAATTTTTTGTTAAATGATCACAATTGTCTCTAATCGATAAATGTGAAGTGAATGAGACCAAGAAAACGTAGATGACCGCACATTCTCATTCTTATAGATGAAATTTTGGTTTAATTATCGCACAATTGAATTGAAATCCAAAATAGAACCTAATAATCTCTAAATCTCAAGGAATAACGTTTTAGAACAAAGAGGCCATAATCACAATCGGTAACAAGACCGACATCTTACTGTCTGTTACTTGTATTCGATTTGAAAACGACCAAATCCAATTTCATTCATATTCTAAATGCAAATTTTTGTTTAAGCGGTTAGTTTTCTGAGAGAAATTTAAAGTTACAATAATAGGCGCCAATTTGTATTCAAATAAGGGTTTTACTTACGATATGCTACTGTATTTAAATTTAGTAGACTACCCTCACGTCAAAAAAATTTGCAGCACTTCCAACAAAGATTAACGATCTCTAACTGTCAGCGTAATTTCCAAAAAAGCATACACCATAGAGGGGGAGAGAGAGTGCATTGTTAAAATTAGAGTAGCGCAAGCGCATTCGATGTAGAGGCCTATAAAAAGCATTACTGAAACTTACAAGCGCAAAGTTTATATTATCACGATGTGCAGCTCACACACAGCTGGGGCTATGCAAATAACCACACTTCGAGTAAATCGGCCTTAAACGAATATGAAGCTCTGCTAACTTTGAAGACTTCAAGTCAGATAAATGATTAATTAGGCAAAAAACTTAATTTAAACAAAAAGTGTCAACTATCATTCAATATCAAATTACTACCCCCCCCCCCCCCCCCCCCCCCCCACCACCGCAATTCCCAATTTCATTCCTTATTGAAATATTTTGTCTTCTCTAAACACATACTTACTCATGGTTAAATAATTTTATACAGATAATAATATTTACTGAGGATAAGAGAAAAGTTACACTCATAAGGTGGCTCAAACGGTCAATTATTTTAGTGTAATCGTGACGTCTACCGCCCACGGAATTAATTCAAACATTCTAATCATCAGAATACAGTCAAGCGTACCTTACATCGGATTTGCCTTCTATTGTGCCTACATATTTCACATCACCAAGCGAAAGGGTGATTTAAGATGCCATAAATGCTACCTTTACCAGTTTTAACCACAAATCTGAAATACTGATTTCATCTTTAATTAATCGAAATGAAAACTGACAAACAGCTGTTTCCGATATTAAAATAAAGAAATTATTTGAAATTAGCGAATAGATTATATAGAGTAGAATAGTGGGAAGTAGCCATTGGTAGAAAGTGAGGTGCAGTTGCAACATTCCCGGTTGCCTATGGAGATGGGGAGAAAGCAAAAGATTTAAAGCTCAAATAATTAACTCTTGTTTAAAGGAGTGCAACGAGTTAGATACACTTGAACATGTGAACGATGATCTACCTGTTTAGAAAACAAATTAGCAGTGTACATGCACCATATCTCATAATCTAATTTAAGGCGGACATCTACACTGAGATATAGAGCTCTGCTAAACTAAATGTAACTCAACTAGTTTCAACTAACTGCCATTAGTTACCGAAGGAGACAAATTTATCGAGGTGTCACCAATCTCTCAATTAAATGAGCTTATCAAAAGGCTTTGAAAATCGCATTTATGACCTGCCTCAGAAACTTAGAGATGAAATCAACCCACCGAACGATACCTATTAGAAAGGACGAAAACCTTATGAATAGAAAATAGAGGAGATGATCCAATTACAACTACTTCTCTCCTCAATACAACCTATACTGGACTAAATTACACCTTCTTTGGTTCTGTGAGCATAGACAATACGATTATATTCCACTTAATGAGCACATAATTACCAGTTGATTGCTGGAATGAAAAAAAACTGAACACTTACGGGTATTGGTAGTCTACTGTTTTACCACCTTCTCTCAACGGATAAGCCAACTGATTCTCATGAAAGTAGAGATATTTCTTTGGAATTGCAGCCAAATCTGGTCGTAGTGCAAGCAGTTCAGGGAGTGAAAATATAGATGATGTGAAGAGTACTCGATACCCAACGGTGATGTTGCGGGGAATCAAGGCAGCCAACTGAAGAGCCCCAGTTCGAGCCCTCCAGTGCCATTTATTTGCTGGCAAAGTAACCACACAAACCCGTTTTCCTAAAATTTAAACGTAATCAGCGACTGACTAGAATAATAATAAGCTGAACTGCGATTGAATATAATTCAACTGAGCGTGATAAGGGCCCAATGTAAAAGGGGGAAATTAATTGGATAAAAGTGGCATCAATATAATAAATCATTTCTATTCCAGAGCAATGCATAATCGGTCATCATGCAAGATCAACTCGAAGACGGTCGGCAACAAGTTGCAGAAAAAAAACGTGATTTCCCAATAATTGAGAAGTTTAACTGAATCTTGACAAACTTGCAACATAGATGTGAACTATTTAAACGCTTGAAATGGATAAGTAATATAAACACTTATAGGCACAACTATGATGAAAAATGATCATGCAACTGAAAATTTGTCAGAAAACAACACCCTATACATAGTAAAAGTTTCGTTCCAGAAGAGATTATGCAATGACGCCATGAAACTTGAAAAATATTTGCTATATAATCATTCAATGAATATATTACGGTTTAAAACCAAACTCCAGTTGAAACGTGGAATCACACTGGTAAAACATTCGTTCGAATAGGATTCCACAATGCTAATCAAAACTTGGAAATTTCCAACCGTTAAGTACCAATCACGTAAGTTTTTGACTCGTCAAATAGCCCAAAAAGGAACCTACTGTTTAAACTACGGGAGATTATTGAACCTTATATTGTTATAGTCTTCTATTTTAATGAAAAATGGCATTTTTTACTCGGCCTGGGGAAGCATTAAAGGGTTAACATGGGGGGAACTGGTGGGAACAGAAAAAACCCAGAGCCCGACCTTATTTGATTAGGTGACATTTAATCACAGCTTATTTTAAGGATGACTCGCAGTAGTTACAAAACACAACGAAAATTAATAAGTTATTGGCATTATTTGTTACCTGTCTCCGCAAGTAACCGTTCAAGTGAGTTTATAAGCTGCTTATGTGAACCTCCATTGAAGGCTTCGAGTAGCAGTATTGGAGCATCAGACGTGGTTTCAACAAAGTTCTCCATGAATCTAGAAATAAGAGGTAAAACACGAACAGTTCGACATTTTTAATACCAATAAGAGAGCCATGACTAAACAAATTATGTTAGGTTGGTATCTACTTCAAACAAGTCAATTTCCGATTTCCTAATTCGCAAAATAGTAAGACATTGGGCTAAATTTAAAACAGGAAAAGCACCCCAAGAAAGCAGCTTTTAACAAGCAGGTGAGAGAAATAACACGATATATCAATATGTAATGGAAAGCTATCAGGAAAAAATAGATTTTAATTTCGCAAGACTCCGAAGTCACGTGCTTTTTGACTTGTCATCGGGCGGGGGTGGCTTAAGAGGACATACTTGATTGATTTAAATAAAACCAAACATCTTAAGCCGTGTGCGTGGTAAACACACGCCTCACTTCTTCACTTTCCTTACAAACACCGGTATCAAATAGCAAAAGATTAAAAAATTAGTGCATTTGCTTTTATTCCAGAGCACACATACATAAAACTGGACAAATCCCTCACACTCCCAAATCCGTGACATCAAAGTCGCAACAACAGAGAAAACCAGACATATCTCATCATTCCATTTATTCGAGCTAGCTGTCGTCTGCACGTAAAACAAGCAGAGGCACGCATTCAAACTTCTCACTTTCCTATAAGGCAAACGTTGTAAAAACCACAAAAGCGTAAAGTATAGAATAAAACGCTATTCAGAATAAAATAAACACTGAAAAGTGGCGAACATCTACACGCTCATATCAAACAGAGAGGAAACGTTGGGATTCGTAGGCATACAGAATAGTCATTTTATATCATTGTAAGTATTTATAGAGTAGACCGGGGAAGGTCCGAAAAAAAATTAAATGGTGAGAAAGTGACATTGCGAGAGAGAAGGAACGCAAGAATGTGAAATGACACACGTGGGTAAATGAAATGTACACGCGTTTGGAGATGACATATTAAGATCCAGGTAATGAGGTTTAAATCGTTCATGCAGACCACATTTGAAGATTTGCAAGTTCCGAATCCTCTTCGGCCTTTTTCGAGGCTACAAAGAGTACAAAATAGATGCAATAAGAAACAACTGAAATCCATGTGATAAATGTTAACATACGCAATAAAGCACAAACTAGTGATATTGAAAAACATAGCGTCACCTGTAAATCACAATATTCAAAACTTACATTTGGGTTTAGACCTCGAAGCAATCAATTCACCAGCAGGAACTGATGGGAGATCTTCGATACCCTCAACATTAAGGAGTTTATCAGCAACATCTTCTTCCTAAAAACGAAAGCATGAAAATATTAAACATGAAAAATGAGGTTCACGTTTGAGAAAGAAAAACGCTAAGCTTACATTGAGCAACTCAAGCTCTTGTAGTAATGCATCCTCATCAAAATTATCAATGCCAGTAGGCATGGAAATGGCGGTTGCTATCTCGTTGGCAATGTCCTGTTGTTCAGCAACGTCATCCATAAGATCATGAACCTTATCAACATTCCTATAAATTATATTAACTGACACATAAATTATAACATACATGTCTTTATGGATATTTTGCATAGCCTTATTGACCGTGTTCATAGTACTCAGGATATCCCTATTCATCATAGCACTATCAAGAGCATTGCGCTGAGCATTAATTCTCATGAGAGCCCCATCGTTTAATTCCAATTGCTTTAAGTAAAATTGTTTTTTCTTCAAGCAGTCGAGAGCAGCTAAAAGATGAATATAATATCGCGAACATACCACGTTTGTTCTTTTCCTTGCAATATTTTTTGGCCTTTTGCAACTCAAGTTCCACTTTCTTTTCTAAAAAAGCCTGCTTTTTCAAGAGAATTTCCTCAGAGTCTGCCAATGCTTTCGTGGCAGCTTCCTGAGCACAATCCTTTTTGTTATTAGATATTCCGAAAATCCTCTTTAGACCCGACATTGAGGAAGATTGAGAAACTCAAAATTGCCGCCGTCGATTCTATTTATATAAAGATATCTAAGTTTGAATAAAATTTTAATGTACTTTAATCTAAAATCGTATGTCAAATTTGTGAATTTGTAGCCAAATATTTTAAGTTGTTTATATTTGCTTATTAGTGCCTAAATAAAATGTTTTGTGCAATGACAGTCAGTTGTGGTCAGTATTTGTTACAAAATAACATTGATGTTTATATACATATATATTGAATTTTACCATTTCATTCACTCAAGAGACGTTAGGCTATGTTAATTTTCATTGTTATACACTACTAATTATTTCAATTTTTTCGGAGATGTTTTGCCTTTAGACTTGAAAATAACATATTCTACGATCTCATAAATAATAATACGAAATCTTAGCAATGGTCTTGAAAGTATTCTTTAATTGGATTTTCACAGCATGTACGGTCGTAACCTAAAAATAGGTATTCTGTAAGTCCTTCATATTGGCCCAAACAACGAGCAGTATGCAATTGAATTAATGCTATATAGTTAAATATAATGTGATTGCTTATCTTTCACAGAGATTTAGTTTAATCAAATCTTTTATTCCTTTTAGATAGACCATAAATGTGTTTAGCACCATTAAGAAGAGGAGAAAAATTAAAAAGTTCAGAGTAACCGCCACCAGAAATTGAGTTAGAGTTGGGACAAAGATGTTTTATCTTATTACGCTGAATTGAGCTTACACCGTTTGTTGCTTTGATGGGCAGCTTTATGACACTAAGCACATTACCACTGAGGAATTGGAAGGAAGCTAAGTTTGTAACCTTGGCAAATATGAGAGATTTCGGCGTGCATATGAACAATATATATTAGTTGCCAATGAAGGGCATGAATAACTGAGACGCTTAACCCACTAGTGAAAACGTGGATATTATTGAAAGTTGATCACTTCTTACTGCCTTTGTTAGTTATTCATTCCTCGTTTTATTTTTCATAATTTTGGGGTGGTTGCTAGACTTACTCCTATGTGGTGCACCCTGGTCAACGTAAACTCATACGACAAGTCTATAAACAGAAAGTTGACTTCTGACATCAACCTACCATGACCCCACTGTATGTCATATTCAACCACTTCCACAGTATTCACCTTAACTTTTCTCTACCTTTGTGTCTGTCTGTCTCTTTTACATCTGTGAAACACTTCTCTGTTCTCCTCTCCACGTTTTGTGACTTAACCTGTTCCTCTGCCCTCTGAAGCCCGAAGTCAGCTAAAGGGCTAATGGTAACTATCATTTTATATCAAATGGCAGGCGTTTTAATAGTTATCATTGGCCCTTTAGTTGACTTCAAGCTTCAGAGAAGGGAAGGAACATTAAAGTGAAAAAGTCGAGATGTGGGGGGGGGGGGGGGAACAGAAGAGTGCTTCAAAGATGTAAAAGAGACAGATACAAAGGTAGAAAAAGGTGAGAATGTGAAAGTAGTCGAATATGACATATAGTGGGGTGATGGTATTTTGAAGTGAGAAGTCAACCGCCGGTTAATAGACGTTTTTGCCGTGTGGGTATACGTTGCCCAGGGTGCACCACGTGGAGGTAAGTCTATCATACACCCCATGGTAACGATCATAAAGACTGTCCTTTAGTATTAATATTTTATAATTTTAAATATCTTTGGCCATAATCGGTTCAGAACAAAAACCACTAAATAATCATCACCTGACAGTTAGAGCAGATCTGACGTATGAGACCATATATGTATCGATGGTGGTAAAGTCATACATAAGCAGACCCCACAATCTCGTCCACGATTACTTAGCCCAATTAACCAGGAAGAGGATTCTCCTTTTAGAATTCTCAAAACTTATATTTACCAGGCAACAAACATTCAGTTAGCTTAAGACTAGCGTAATTTTTATGAGTGGTATTGACATTCCTTTGAGTTATAGAGTCATTTTGGTTTTGGAACACATAATAAATCAGTGTGCTCTTATGCTAAAAGATGAAGTGAATGGAATGAAATTATAGAATATCCACAAAAATTGGAATTGGTCAGAGACGTTTCTCTGAATAATGACAAAAACCACCCAACTAATGAATAACATAGATGTTCGATTTACTCAATCGGCATTGCCAGATTACTTCTAAAGGAAGTAGCCATAAAGGCAAGCTGATCCCTTTCTTTCGTCAAATATGACTTTAATAATTCTTGTCACCAACGCCTATTTTTCTCAACCAAGCTGCAAATTCGAGAAACTAATAGAGAAGTACTTGCCAGCACGCATATCAAGTTGGGCACATAATAGAACGCTAAAAAGTCAGGATTCTTGATTACTCAAGCACAATTCCTATACTAATCTAGACAAAAGAAGCCCCTTTCAGGAGGACTTTAAGTCACTCTAATTCCTATATGCCTTTACTCCTTCTCACTATTCCTTCCTTAGTTTATAAAATGAGCTAAAATAGACACTTAATTAGATTGTGCTTGTCAGTTTCGATGCCATTGGACTATCAAAAGACTGTACTTTAAAATTTCCATTTTATTATAGGACAAATAGTACTTTCTATATAAAAAACACTTTTTCTAATTGCTTTTGAGTAGAGGTTTGCGGAAAACATTGAACACACATTTGTAGTGATAGTGGAGCATTGAATTGGGATCCTGAGTGAACGACGAATGGATATTCAGTTCCTCTTTCTAGAAACAAGATTGCAATTAATAATTAAGAAAACACAATTTTAAACCTTTAAGTAAAAATAAATGCAAAGGACGAAAATTGTATTAAACACCAACAAAACTTGAATACCCTCAATTAAAGACCAATTCGGGCACAACTACCGACTCATACTTCACATCCAAGTATCAATTACACATCGACAAACAAAGAAAGTAAACGTTGCCAACACACCGGATTGTTTTTATCAATACTAATTAACACTATTATATTCACAAATGACAATACTGGAGTCTGCTCATAATGAAGCTATAATTGTCCTATTGTAACATGTAATGAATTATAAAGGTGGTATTGAGGGAAATAAATCATTTGAGGAAAAGTAATAACGTTTTATGCCACCAGATAAAAAAATAATTCATGGAAATGGAGAAACTCCTTCCACGTAATGTAACGGAATTAAATGCAAACTAAATTTTTAATTTATTGGTAGTTAATGCAACTACAAGTTTAGAAATTATCCCGCCTTACCCATCCATGTAAAATCAAAATTGAGGGCTTAAATGGATGTAAAGCCAAGAAAACAAAATATATTTCAACAAGAAACTCACCAAGTCACCATTAAAACATCCATCCCCCCAACCCCAACTTTCTCAATGGCCCAAAAAACAAAAGCGCTAGAAATGGAAGTGCTATGCGTATTTGGCATCACCTTATGCGCAGGGATGAATTTCATAATATAACAAAGACAAAGAAAACAAAAACGTGGCTTGCAACGTTAGTAAAGAGGATTCAAATTATGACAGGGGTATTTTCCGTTGGCATAAACTAAAGATAACGATTCCAGAAACCAATCGGTTCAAAAGGACTTCATACAACTCTCCTAATTACAGATAATTGAACAGAACTGAAGTAAATAAAAACATACCACCAGCTCAAATCCCTTTAGATTAATAGCCTTCTTCAAATCCGCGTAGGCCAATTCAATTGAATCTTCTCCAGGAATATCCGCAAAATGATAGAGTAGAGGACCTGGGGAAAAAAGCAAAAAAGAAGCAAAATAAGATAAGGAAATATCATCCTGCTTAGCAATAACAATCCGGGAATGGTGAGCCAAAGGACCAATTAATTAACTAATGTGATGACATTCAATGCCTTACAACAACAATTCCTACTACTAAAGAAAACTCCAATGTGACAAAAATGTATAGGCTTACCGAAATTGATCCAATAACCACCGGGAACGAGGATATTCCAGATTGTGTCGAGGTACTCCAGAATATTATGCGCAGTATCAATAAAGTATACAGTAGCCACACAGTCCCATGTATCTGTTAATAAAAGAACAGAATAGTGTGAGAAACCATACTAAAACAAATTTCCCCACTCGTCGATTCTTAAACTATAAAAATAGAGTCCAAAATGGGCAAAAGGTTTCATAATCCGATTATAATGATACTTCGGTGGGTCGGTCTAACCTCTAGACTCGCCTGAACAAGACTAGTACAGAACAATTGAGGCTGTAAATTCACTGAACCAGTTTGAACTGACTTGTTGATCATTGCGCTGGTTGTGCCACCCCACATACCACCCCCCCCCCCTTCTTGAAGACGATCACTATTATAGGCGAACTGATTGCACTTGCTCCTTGATTTCATTATTTAGATTCTTTTCCCGTGATGTGACACTAAGAACAATATGATACTAATGAGATGAGATTAAAGGAATAAGATCGGAGCACCAATATTGAATAGCTGGAGTGTGCGATAGACTTACCTTCACGTGATGCTCCCTGGGTTAAAGTATACTCACACAGCAAAAAAGTCTATAAACAGGAAGTTGAGTTCTGATTTCAAACCGCCATGACCCGACTGTATGTCATATTCCACCACTCCCACAGTATTCATCTTACCTTTTCTTTACCTTTGGATCTGTCTCTTTTACATCTGTGAATCACTCTTCTATTCCCCTCTTCCTCAAATTGTGATTTTGATGCTCCTCACCCCGCCACCCCCCCCCCCCCCCTCCTGTGAAGCCGAAGTCAGCTAAAGGGCTAATGATAACTATTAAAACGCCTGTCATTTGATATAAATATTGAGTAACCAGTACTTACTGGGCTCAGTGTATACCTCCACAAAGTCACCAGCGACCATGGAGAACTGTACATCGGAGGGGATATCTGCTGGTGACACGTCCGGAACAGTAACTGCAGTCATTTGATTATCACAGGACAGGTTGTTGCAAAATTGTGTGATAAAAGGATGCAACGTGTACGCATTCGTTTCGCTGCACCTATAAAATAATTGTTTTATACGAGATCAATACCATAAGAGAAAAATAGTAGTTTATAATAAGAACAATGAATAAAGTCAAAATCATCAAGCAAACGGAATAGATGTATTAGCTAAAAGGGTTGACTTATAAGCAAGTGGGCACACTAGACTTATGATTAGTGTGACTACAAAGATTAAGAAGTACGAAATCAGGAGAACGATACCCATCGATATCCAGCACAATAGTCTGATTTATTATTGTGAAAAGGCTCCTATTCTATACACAAGAAAAGTGGCGTAGTTAATTCTGGCCAATAGAGGGTATTAGGAAAGGGGGTTTATAGGAGTGCTACAAATTAACTTAAACTTAGCTAAAGTATGCATGATCAAGTTAAAAGTAGAGAAGTGTATACGTATAATAAATGAAACAATATATTATCAGACAGAAGAAAATAATTGACTTACTAACTACAGTTGGCAAAATTTTAGTAAAAGAAAGAAGTGTTGGTACAACCAAAGATGGATTTAAAGTGAAGTCAATTGTAAAAAGTAATAAAATAAAATGGGAAACTCAATAGTCAATAAACAGGTATGATTTGGGCACAAAGATATGGAGCCACATGCTCAACAACGATTGAATTTGGAAATATTCAAGAGACATACGAAACACCACTTGGTCCAATAGGACATTTGCAAAGTAAAGCCAAAAGTACGTGTAGCAATTGATGCTTACATTACTAAGTAGGCATATGAATTAAAGGCAAAGTAAATACACGAAGCAGCCGTATTAACACAATTTGATAACTTATTACTTGCGAAAAACAGTAAGGGAAACTGATCGAAACCGAATGCTCTATTAAGGAAATTGGAATTAGAATGACTACACAAACAGCGACGGAACACCGTAGTTTGAAAGGGACTAAAGCAGAAGAAAAACGAACTTGACAGATTGAAAATTAAAAGAGAAGAGAGAAATTTACCATGATGATATCTGATTTGCAATGCAATTGATTATCCAAAATTGAGTTGTCAGTATGCTTTTGATTAATACACAGGATTAGGCGAAAAAGCTTAAAATCCCCAATTATGAATAGGAAAACTGCAAGAATCCAGGAGGCCTAAAGAACGGGAAGGGTTGAGCAAAAGGTGTGATGAAAGTCACAATTAATTGAGGAATAGCCCTATCTTACACAGAATTTAAACATTAGGGTAAAAGCATATTGTCAGTGGAAAAGGCAGACTTACAAATTAAGAATGAAATAAGCCGGTAGAAGCATATAAAGACTCCATTCATTACCCTGACATGAGAAACCGGCGTTGGCTAATTCCCAAGCCAGTCGGCCCAAACCAGCACCAGGTACAAGAATTTTAATATCAGATAGCTTTCTAAAAAAATAAACCAAACAATCAAGATAAACGAGCATTACCTATCAGAAGGGGAGAAAATCTGTTTAATTTCATTCACGACTGGCTCATAGGATTGCTTTCGCTCTATTTCGCCCAAACTAGACCAATCACGTACAAATTGTTTCAATACAGAATTTATCCTTTCCACATCCATATTTGTAATTGAGAAACGAGTCTTCACGCCGGCATCACCTTGATCACCATTTTCGATTGTTTCATCCCGTTGGGTCAGGGGCTAAATAAATACAAATAAAAACATAAGTCTATTTACATTTTCTTCCTCAAATATTTCTCCTTTCGAGTTCGCAAGGATAAAATCTATAAATTTATTGTTATTTTCAATACACTGTTTGATTTTCGATATATTGAATAGAAAATCAGGAATTAAAGCCTTGTGATTCTCTGAAAGTTTATCATAAATTAGAGCCTGCTTCTTAACTTTGTTTAGGGCGTAATTTCTGAAATTATTAAACAGTTAAAGCATAATAAACAAACTTGTAGCATTTAAAAACAGCTAGAGTCTTCATAAAATGCTTCCGCTCCAAATCATCCATCTTCTTCACGGCGAAAGGATCTCAAACCAAACCTCCCCAAATTTCTGCGCTAACAAAATTACTTATTTGAACCGCACGTAGAAATTAGTTGGTTAACGTATTGAAAAGAAAAATATAAATTAAATATATGACTGATATTTATTTAAAGACTCTCTATAAAGAAATGAAATAAGATGGCTTATTTACTGAATCACTGATGGAATTATATTTCGATTTGTGTGTCGAAATTCTTATTAGAAAATGAAAATTAAAACGGAACAACATAAGAATATATAATTACAAAAAGAGTTGTTATTAATTTAAACACATTTTATCAGGACTTTCAACTACTCAGCGATTTCCAAACATTTAAGGTCAATCAAGCGTTCTGGAAATAGGTCGCTTTTCTGTTTTAGTAAACTTTTTCAGAATGTCCTGGAGATCAACAGGCAGGACGAATGAAGAATTGGTTAATAATTTACGGAGTAAATTCCTTAATTAAGTTTCTAATTTAAGGCCATAATGTCATATCCTCTGATCGGGTTCACAGTGTTATGATGACTGTTGACCGAGGTTATTTTATTGGACATAATCCTTACGAAGATCGTCCACAATCAATTGGATATAGTGCAACAATTAGTGCACCCCACATGGTTGGTTTCTTTGCTTTCAATAGTAATGTATGAGCATTTACGTTTCCTATCTACTTTTTTTATTATTTGATTTTAGCACGCGTATACTTTGAATGTTCTCGAACCTAAACTGCAACCTGGAGCCCGTGTTCTAGACGTTGGATCTGGAAGTGGAATTTTGACGGCCTGTTTTGCTCTCATGGTGAAAAACATATGTGTAGTCGAATTTTATCCCTTATTTTTACTTATTAACTTTATTTTCTTCCAAGGTTGGCCCTAACGGTCTTGCTGTTGGAATTGAACATGTTGAGGAGTTGACACATCTTTCTGCTCGAAACATTCAAAATTGGCTGAATTCTCGTCCGATGTATAATGGTTCTGCTGTGGATTGCACTCTGGGAAATAATATATTATTAGTTACTGGTGATGGTCGTCAAGGCTATCCTCCGCACGCTCCTTATGATCTCATTCATGTCGGCGCTGCTGCCCCTTCTATTCCCCAGGAGGTGATTTTGCACTGTTTTTATTGTTTATCGCATCTTTTGTGTCTTAAGACTATATTTGTAATCATCCTTCAAGACCATCGAAGTTATCAAATTTTTGAAAATAATTATTCGATATTTTGTGTAAATTTTTCTTGCTTTTTTTTCTGGAATTTTTTATGTCGTATAGCTAAATATCTTCCCATAAAATTGTCAGTCTAGGAATCCTGGTATTGGTATGCTATATGTGATAGCTTATAAGTTGGATTGGTGTTTTATCACTAATTTTCTATTTTATGTACTTTTCTATGCATTCCATATTTTGAATTTTGTCTAATTTTTTATTTTTAGAGTATTGAATAATACTTTTCTCTAAATATTTAAATAGGAAACTTGATGTCTTGGTGTCCAGGCTAAAATCTTTTTATTAGCTCGTTTCACCCTTTTCGTGTTTTAAATGATGTAATAATCTTGTCTCTTTTCTTAAATACTTCCAATGTTCATAATTTTTTTTCTTAGAACATCAGTTTTAACTTCAAATATCTTCACTTTTGACTACTTATTCAACCTAACCTTTGCAGTTACAGAAATTTATATTTTCTTGCGTTTCCTCTTGTAGTTTGGTTAGAACTAGTTTATCATTGACTCTTGTTACTAACTTAAGTGTGAAACTATTGTTCTTTAATTATGGTGGCGTTTTATACACTGATTTGTTACCAAATAGGATTCATATAAATAAATGTTATCCCTCGCCATGGGCGTTCACCTCAATATTGTTTACTGGCGCCAATATGCATTTTCGTATCTCCTTTTGAAATGAATCTATCACATCAGCAATTTAAAGGCAACTCTTTCGTTTAAATCGGATAGAGCTCATTTCCTATCCTCATTTTTTAAGGTACGCCTGAATGTATTGGAGAAAATTTCTTAACAACATTTAGGAAATTTGTTTTTTTGAATCATTAGTTTCTTATCTATGAAGCTTCATTTATGTTATTGTAGCTCTATGTCATGAAATTAAGACAGGGTACAAGGGCTTACCTGTAACTTTATTGTAATTCCCAGTTCCTAAAAATCCTTTTGATTTTCGATTTTACTAATTTACTCGAGCAGTTTCGTTAATAGGAGTAGTGTGCCTTTCTTAATGCACTTATAAATCCTATGTCTTCAAATAGATCACACGTTTCTAAGTTCTCTCAAAAGTGTACTAAAAGCAGCCCTTTGGGAAGCGTTGCAACAATTTGCAGGTAACCTAACCGGGAATCGTTTGCTTTAGAAAATTCTTTTGTTCCATTCCACTTTTAAGTCAAAATTTGCCACATGTGCATTGATTTTGTTTCTTCGATTTGCACACAGGTTTTACGTTGTGTGTTTTATTTTCATTTTTACTTATTCATTCCCAAGCATATTTATGAATACCTTTTTTCAACCCCTGTCCTTGGTTTTATATTAATTGCCTCACTAATTTTTCTGTGAAAAGGTCTGTTATGGCACTGTTCGAGTACTTAACGTGAATGGAATTTTATATCAAATGGCAGGCGTTTTGATGGTTATCATTAGCCCTTTAGTTGATTTCAGGCTTTACAGAGGGGAAGGAACATCAAATTGAAAAAAAGTCGAGAGGGGGGGG